TATACAACTGGCTATATATGCAACTTTTTTATATTACCTATTTAAGAAGTTTATCTGAAGGTTCCTTACTAGTTGCTATACTTAACACCTCTGCTTAAATGTTTTATTTAAACCTTTTGATCTGGTCCTGATATTAACTTCATTAGGTTACAGACTCAGATTTTTTTATTATTAACTTTTAGAACTATAATTCTTAGACTATTTTATTCTTGAGGTAAATCTATCAGAGTAAGCTATATTCTTTTTTACCATTAATCTAATTTGACACTATGGCTGAAACCAACACTTGCAATCAAAGTTATTCATTAAACTGCTATTACCTTTGTAAAGTTTATTCAAACTTTGGTACTTATCTTTCTGATATCTTCTCTATTATTTTCTATTAGCTACAACTCAAAACTGACAGACTTTTCAAACTTTTAATTCAGATAGCCTAGTATAGTATACTTATATATTCTTTTTCTTTAATAATTTTAATAATCTAATTGATACATATGCTTCTCTACATATTTGTTATTCAGTTTATTTGACAATTTATATAAAGATGTTTTATGAACTTTTATTAGTTCAACAGTACTATTAAAAGTTTGTGCTATCTCTTTACTCAGAATTTTCAAATAAGTTTCTATTTTCTTAGTTTTTTAGTCTTTTGCACCTAGTGGTCTTATTATAGATTTGCACTAAAGCCTTATATGATACTGGCTTTTTACATTTTTTTATGTATATATAACATTACACTTCACATAGATGCCCTAAGTTCTCAATATCAGATAGGACCCAATTTGGTATATCTAAGATTACAAATGCCCAAAACCCAACTGATTAACAAAAGACAGTTATCATAACATAGGTATAATTTCTAAAATTTGTTATTTATGAGAATTAAACCTTAAATCTGCTACTTGGAAGTTAACAACCTATCCACTTTATTAAGTTGCCACACTTCTAATTAGAATTATTTTATAACATATTTAAAACTATTTTACTTAACTAAAATATGTAACTTAATTATTCTTAAACTGTATTCTAGACAAATTTGCCTAGAAATTAAATTGTATTTAGTATTTTTTAAATAAAATAATAATTTATTAATGATATAAGATATAGTTTGGTTATAAAATATATTCTTAAAAACATATTTTATAAACTTTATTATAAAACTTTTTTAAAATATTAATAAACTTTTATATATTAAAATTTTAAAAATTTAAAAAATTTTATTATTAAAAATTTTTTATGATTTTTTAAAATTTTATATATTTCTAAAGCTAAAAAAAATTTTTATATTTTGTACAAGTTTAAATTTTTATAAGTAAATTGCAAAAATGTTACTAATAAAAATTGTCATCCATTATATAAACTAAAATATTGTATTAAGAACTATAGACTTAAAATTAATATTTAAAGAGTTTGTTAAAAATTTATAAATAATTTTTTGATTAAAAATTTTTTCTAAATTTGTCTATTTTTAGTTTATAAGTAATATATAATTTTTTTTTATAATATAAAATTAAATACTGCTATAATATAATTTTTATTTTTATTTTTATTTTTTTTTTTATCTCTGGTGTTAATATTTAGAGGCACATGTGGTGCTCTTTTATTAAAATCAAATTATTAAGAACTTTGTATATATTTATATATATTTTTTATTTTTTGAGAACAGTTTTTCAGATTGTAATACAGAGTATGTATGTTTTTGTAAAGACGTTTGATTATTATTAGGAGTAGAATTCTGCTTGAAAGGTTGCTGTTTCCTTATTTGAAAGAGGTGTAGGTGCATCATATTTTATAAATTATATTTGTATACAATCAAAGAGTGCCTTGTTTGCTTTCATTATTTGTAATGTTTGTTGCTATAAAAATTTCTTCTATAAAGGTTAGTTTTTAAAAGGCCATAAGCCTGTTTTCAAATTTCTTTACTCCCTTTGCATTTAAGTGCAAAATGTTCAGCAGTTTGTAGCTCATTGTCATATCAGAGGCAGTTTTCTGTAATAGAAAGGCTTATATGCTGTAGCCAGTATTCTAGTAGTAAAGCTTTATAAAAAAAATGCCATAAGATGTCCTTTTTCTTGTTAGTTGTTTTCTTAACTAGCATTTAGTTAGGTTGTTAACTAGGATTAGATGGTTCAGATGCAGTCTTTTTCTTAGAATTTCAATGATTTTCTTAACTGAAAGCTTTTCTCTATTAAGTTTTTCTATTTTAATATCTTTGAGCTTTCAAGGCCAAATCATTGTTGCAATAACTTTGCCTTTGGCTTTTTTTCTAAGCTAAGAGATATGGTTTTTATTTTTTTAGCCAGGCTTTTAATCTGATAATGTCTGTTTTTAATGACTGATTTATTGATATGTTTCTTTTTTCAAGTAGGATTTATGTGATTTTTTTTCTTTTATATTTGGTCCATGTAAAGTCACTTGTAAGGAGTTTTTTTCATATTGAGATTAGTCTAGCATCTAGCATATCTCCTATTATTGGGGCTTGAAGGCTATTCTGTTCAAGTAATTGCTAGAATATAGAGTATCTAGGCAGCATTCTGAAATTGTTTTTAATTTAGAGTATTATTAGTTTGTTAATTTCTGCAATCTGTTTTTTACTTAGTGGAGTTAGGTATGCTGCATACCATATTTATGAAAGTATAAATGCCTTGGCTAAAAGAATTTTTTCTCTAAAAGAAAGATTTTGGTTAAATGATTTCTCTAGTGTCTTTTTTATCCTAATGATTGTTGTTGTCCATAAGTCTTTTTTAGAAATGCCTTTTGTGTTTATTTCATATTTAAGAATTGTTAGTGTTTCATCTTTAAGTTCGATCCTGCAGGCTGTATTTGTAAAAAGCACTAATTTGTTTTGTTTTTGTTGATTTTTGTATTAGAGGCAGCTTCATAGGTTTTAAAAAGTTGCAAAATATTTATTCAGTCTGATGATGAGCTTATTCTTATTGTTAAGTTGTCTATATAAGCTAACAGTTTAAAGAACTGGTTTTTTAAAGAAATTTCTCGAATGTTGCTTTCTAATTGTATGAGTAGTAGTTTAAATGCAAGTACATATAGTAAGAAAAAGAGAAGATCTCCTTGTTGTACTTCTCTTTCTACTCTAAAAGATTCAAATAGAACATTGTCTTTTATAATGTATGCCATTTGGTTTGAAAAAAGATTGGCTATCAAGTTGGTTATTTTTTTGTCAAAGTTTATTTTTCTTAAAACCAGATTCAGAAAGTTATTATTTACTCTATCAAATGCCTTTTGCTGATTTACTAAAAGCATCCAGTGCTGTTTAGAACTGTCTGATTGGTTTCTTAATATGGTAATTATATCCAAGACTGTGTCTATTATTGATCTTTCAGAAACAAATTCTTGTTGGTAATTGGGGATAATTTTTTTGCAAATTACATTAAGCCTGTTTGTTATAATTTTTATAAAGATTTTAGCATCAGAATTTACTAATGAGATTGGGCACTAGTTGTTTAAGTCTTTTAAGTTTTCTAACTTTTTGAAAATTAGTATGATTATGTTTCTGCACTATGAATTAGGTAAACAACCAGTATCTAGTACTTGATTGAACACCTTTTTAAGAACTAGTGCTATTCTAATGATGTAAGTTTATAGAATTTGTATATTAGCCTATTAGTGTCAAGTGACTTGTTATTAGGAAGGCCTTGTATTGCTTGAGTTATTTCTTCTTGTGAAATTCTTTTAACTAGACTGTTATTTTGGTTCTGTCATACTTGAAAAAGACTTTTAGTAATCTTTTTTGCTGCTTTAAGATCTATGTTTTCTTTTTTGTAGATTTTCATATATTGGTTTTTAATATATATAAGTGTATCTCTGTTTTTTGAGCTTAAAGTTTTGGGTATTTTAATTTTAAACTGAGCACTTTGTGACTTTCTTGCTTTATATCTTAAGAAGAAATATTTTGTTACCTTTTTTCTATTTTTGATCCATTTTGTCTTTGACCAAATTAACCATGACTCAGCCATCTTAGTTAGTTCCTCTTATATTTAAAGGTTTAGTTCTTCTATAATTTTGTTAAGGTGTTCTTTTAAGGAATCTGCTACAAGCTTCTTGCTTAGTTTTGTAATATCTTTATTTAGCATTGCCATTTTATTTTTAGGGGCTTTGGGTTTTCAAAAGGCTCTGATGATTGATTGTATATAGATTTTACATAAATCCTAGTTTTCTGCTAAGCCAGCATCCTGGATTTTCTCTAGTATCTTTTTTTTTAGTAATTCATTTTTAAAAGATTCTTTATTGAACTTTCAGACTGAAAGCTGTTTAGACTCTTGTTTGAATTCCAGTATGCATCTTACTAGAAGATGGTCTAAATTACCAAGTGTATGCTAACTTCTGATATAAAGTAATTGTGATTCTCATTTATAAAAATATAGTCCAAACATATAGCTATTAAGTGGTTATTTTGTGTTTTTTGAAAAAAAGTTAGAAAGAGCTTGGTACTTAACACCTCTGCTGTGTTAATAAATTCTTTTGTTAGATTAGAGAGCTGGGTTCTAGTTGAATCATGTTGGGCTGTTGCTTGACTTATCCTGTTGTCTTTGGGGTTAAGATTAACATTAAAGTCTTCTGCTATAATGTTTATATTATTTTCTTTGATTTGAGGTTTTTAATCATTAAAGAAGATTATTCTGTTACTAATGTTTGGTGATGCATAAACATTTGTTATTTTGAAGAAGTATCTTTTAAAAATAAAGTCTGTTGTTATTATTTTTCCTTCATGGCTTATTTGAGTGTTTTTGAATTTAATATCTTTGCTTCCTGCTAGAATTGCTGTTTTTTTAGTTTAGATTGAATTGTAAATTCATTATTGTTTAAGAAATTCTTGTGTTTTTTCATTATTAAGGTTAGTTTCCTGAATCATTATTATGTCTAGTTTGTATAATTTTAAAAAAGTTAGTGAATTTTGTTGTTTTTCTTTGTCTTTAAGTCCTTTTACATTTAGTGTTGTTATTTTTAGTTTGGCTTTTTGAGTTATAAATTATATGAGGTTGTTAGATCTTTTGAATTAGAAGTAGCTTGCTTCTTCATAAGTTTTTTTGTAAGGAGATGATCTTGTTTTATCTTTCTTAGATGTTCTGTTTTCTTTTTTGGTTTTTCTGTTAATAACTATGATAAAGCTATCTGTTTTTTCATTTTTGTCAGAAGGAGAAGCTGCTTTGAGAATGCAACTTGCAGATGGATGTGGTGTTCTATAGCCATAAATGGCAAGTTCATCTCTTGGTAGCATTTCTGTATCTAGTAAAGGATCTTCTTGAGTTATCACTTGCATTTGTTCATCTGAGCTGTTATTTGTTATAGCTAATTCTGCTAGAACTAGAAGCTGAAGTTTTTGCTGTTAGTTAGAATCAGTTTCTTTTAAGGCCATATGTGCATCATCTTTAGTATCATTTTGTTCTTGCTGATTAGGGTTCACTGGTGATAGAGATTCTTCATTGCTTTGTTTGATACTTTCTAGTCTCATTTAATTTCTGAAAGTTATTTGAGAGTCTTTTGTTATATTTGTTCTCTTTGTATTGTTAATAGCTAATTCGTAGATTTACTGAGTTTTGAAATTGTTAACATTCTTTTTTAACATGGCCTTTTTTTCTACAAAAGTAGCACATCTTAGGTGCTGATTTCTATTCTGTTGTGATCTTATTGTCTCACACATGTGTTAAACAAGGTATATTGTTTTCTAGGTTAGGATTATTTGAGTTCTTAAAGATTATAATCTATTGGTCTATAAGGTAAGGTGTTTCTTTAATCAGTAGAAGCTTGATTAATGCAATTCTGCTAACAAACTCAAAGGCTTCTTTTATAGCATCTGATATTGCTTCTTTGTTACTTAGTGGAATATTTCTGATCTTAATTAGAAGAAATAATTTTCTTAAATCTGTAAAAATAAAGCCAAAAAAGGTTCTACCAAAAATATTAATACCTTTAATAGCATGATGTTTTAATTTGTCTTTGTTTTCAAATACAATTTCTAAGTGTATATATGTTCCTTTTGTAAAGTGTTGTTTTGCTGCTATGATGTCTTCTTTAAAGTTTTTAAATAATAAGACCATAATTTCATTAAAAAAGTTGTGCATGCCTTGAATATCTATTATTAGAGCATTTTTATTTTTTAATCTAATTTGGCTTCTGGACATGAAGGTAGACTATTCTTTTCTTAATTTTAAAAAAAGACTAGATCACTGTTTAGTTGTGTTTCTTTTAGGCCTTTTTGTCTGTCACTACCTTTTTGTAAGTTATTGTAGAAGTTAGTTTTATGTGCTTCATTTGACAAACTATTACTTTGCAAGTTTTCTGTTGTGTTTAGCTTCTTTCCTGTTGTATTTTCAATTTTTTCTAAGTTGTCTAATATTATCTGTTTTTTAGACATATTGTTTATTGCTATGTTTATAATATCTTTGAACATGTTATTCTTGTTTACTTTTTGGTCTTGAATAGCTTTTATTTTTTCTATTTCTAGTTTGACTTGTTTGTCCCAGCTTGTTAAGTTTTTACTAGAGATTTCTTTTAGTATCTGTTTTTTTTTTTGTTCATGTTTAGTAGCCTCTTTTATGTTAGTCATCAAGTTTGAAAAGCTTAATGTGTTTTCTTTATTTTTCTTTACTTTTTTTCTGCTGCTTGTTGATGCTATTTTTTTTGTTGTTTTTATGCTTTTTGTATATTATGATTTTATAAAGGACCTTTTTCTTGGAACAAGGACAAGGGCCCTTGTTTTAGTAAATACTTTAGCTAGTTTTGTCTTGTTGTTTGCTCTTATTTTTACCAAAAGGGTTACTTTACTCCAAAACTCATATGTTCGAGAGAGTGTATATGTAAATTTTTTTTTAATTTTTATTTTCAAATATTATTAAATAAAATTTTATTTAAATATTTTAAAATTTAAAAAATATAAATTATAAGCATAGTTTTAACAATTTTTTAGGCAAATTTGCCTGGAAAAGCAACAAATTAAGGAATAATCTATCAATAAGCACTTATACAAGTAATTCAAACCTGTAAAAATTCTTTATTTTTTTTTTATATTTATTATTTTTTTTCTTAATCTGTATTTTAAGTTAATAACAAGCCCATATATACTAGCAATTTATTTTTAAGATGTAACTAATTAGTTATTATGCTATATTAGTCTGTAAAATAAATAAATTAATTAATTAAATATATATATAAATAAAGTGATAAAAAAGGTCTTAAATAAAAAAAAAAGCTAGTTTTAGATATGCAGTCTATTGTTTTCTAATTTATTTTAGACTTCTTTTTTTGCACAATTTATCTAATTTTGATCATATATTAGTGTTTCAATAGTTCCTAGATTAAGATTTGATCAATAATCATCAATAATTCTTCTAGATGTACTAAATATATAAATAAATAATATCATAGTTGATACTAAAAATTGGCTAAAGTTAAAATTAACTAGATTAATTAATTTTAGCATTAGCTAAATTTTAGCATTCATGACAAAATAAATATATATTAGTTATATACTGTAAAAAAATTTACAATACTTATATTAGTAAAATTAGATTCAATAAGGTCTTTCTATTATTGCTTTAAAAAAAAATAATAAGATAACTACCAGAGCAATAGTACTCTATAAAATATCAATATAGTACTATACTTCTATTAATATTTGTAGAATACTACTGCTCTAATAGTTACTCTATTGAAGCCAAAATTTGTTAGCAATAGAAAGATCCTATTGAATCTCATTTTACTAATATTAGTTAAAACTTTACTAACTCAGAAGCAACAGAAGTTATTGAAATAGCAAGAATGTTTCTTGCCATTAATAATACAAATAGGTATTTTGATTCATTTTTCTTCTACCAACTTAAGGTATCAAATAGTTTCTTATATTATAAGAAAGAAGTAAATCAGTAAAATATTACTCAAATTATCTATTTTATTTATAATATAACCTTAATTATTTTTAAAAAAACAATCAAAATCTTTTATAAACTCATCTTTTTATGAAAAAAATATTAAAAAAACTATTAGACAAAACTATATTTTGCTTATATGTTGATTTATAAACTGTTATAGCTTTATATAAAATAAATAATTACAAATTAGTAAAAATAATATTAAAAAAAAATAAAATAAAAAATTAGTAATATATTCAAAATAACTTTCTTAATTTTAATAGTATTTAATTTTATCTTTAGCTTTAGTGCATAATAAGTACATTTTCTGCATATATATAAGTTAATAATACCATCTTATAGTGCAAATTTATTATTAAAGCAATACAGTACACATTTTCTGTATTAGCTCAATATTTATTAAACTTTGATAGTATTGGTATAACTATTTAACAAATAAAGAGCATTATATTAGTAACATTTTGTTCAAGATGTATCTTAATTTTTATTATATAAGAAAAATAATGTTTGCTATTAGATATGTACTTCCTAATATAATAGTTATAACTTTATTCAAATAAATATTATTTAATATGCTTTTAATTAATCTAAAGCTTAAAACATAAAATTATAATTATCTTTAAAAATATTAATGATTCAGATTGATTGGTCTGAATTATTAATATCCTAATTATCTTTATAAAATAGGTTTAAAAAATATAAATATGCTTAGTCTTTTTTTAGTTTTTTTCAGAAAGTATAATTTGTCCAAAATTTGAATCTTGTAATGTAAAATGTTTAAATATTCTTATATAGAATAATAGATGCTAATATTAAGTATACTGAATTCCAATAAGTAAGTATATTAATAGTTAGTTATAAACTAAATTTGAGCTTACTACAATAGCTAATTACTGCATCTTCAAAATTTTGATATAGATATAATAAACTATTAATCTATTTAACATATTCTTGAATTTTGTATAAATATTTTTGGCTATTTTGAAACTGTCACTAATTATAAGGTTTATTATATATATATAGCACTATTGTTGTAATATAATTTCTATAAAACAAAAATATTTTTGTAAATATATATTATTAATATTTAATATTAAATAATATAAAAATTTTTTAAATCAAACATATGTGCAAAAGCTTTAAGAAAATACAAATAAGATGTATCAAAAGATCAAAACACAAGGCATTAGCAGTAATTCAAGTAGAACAACTTACTGATAAGAACATTCTATGGACTTTGCCAATTGGTGTTCACAAGTTGGCAAGAGTAACCAAAGAAGATGAAGATTATACACAATGTGATCTTTAAAACTTGTTCACAACAAAACTAACAGGACTTTTAGACAATGCTTCAGAAGTATTGCTATCATGCTGCTTAAAAAACAAGAAAGCAAAATCAGTTTACATATCATCTAACAGAAACAGAAACCAAAGAAGAGTAGCAACAATTATCTTTATATTAGAAGAAGAAATGGAAACAGCACAATCCAAACTAATAAAATTTAATAACCACTTTCTATATTAGAAAAACTTTTAAGAAAAGTGAAATAGAAAAAAAGAAGGTAGTAGTAATCAAAGACACCTAAATACAGAAAAGACATTTATCAATGTAAATAAAGAAGAGCAGAAGGTTGACAAAAAAGAAACAACCAAGAAAAAAAACAATAAAAGCAAAGATGACAGTTAAATAAAACAAACAAAAGAAGATGATTCCAATTCACAAATACAAAAGATTTGCTTCAAAAAATCCTAGAAAGTCTAAACAAACTTGAAGTTCAGCAAAACAAATTAATAGGAAAAATACAGCTAAGGACAAGAGATGGCCCAGCTGATTGCTCTTAAAGGCACCACAGTTAAACTAAAAAAAACAAATAAGGAGCTTGAAGGTTTTCTACAAAGAAAAAGAGAAATATATTAGAAAAGCATAACAACTCCTTATTGAAAAGAAAAGAAAACTAGAAAAAAAAAAAACAGAAAATATAAAAACAAAACAAGACCAATTAAAGGAGAAATAGAAACAAGGAAACAAAGAGATTAAAATAGTATGCCATAATATTAATGGACTAAAAACCAATGGGTAGAAGCTTGAAAATCTGCTTAGCTGGGCAGAAGAGAAGGAAATTGCAATATTAGAAGTTATAGAAACAAACATTACTGAAAGAGAAGGAAGGTTTTTGGCACATGTATTAAACAAAAATTATATAGGATACTGGACAACTGCAGCAAAAGATAAGAAAAAAGAATCAGGAGTAGGAATTCTAATAAAAGAACAATAGAAAAAGCATGTGAATGCAGTTAAGAGAATAAGTGAATATATAATAGAAATCACATTATACTTCAAGCAATTGGAGTTAATAGTAATAGAAGTCTATATAATACCAAGTAACAAAATGATAGAAAAAACATCTAACAAAAGATTGTAAAGATGGTTATCAAATAGAAAAGACAAATGTAATTTGTGATTATAGGTAACTTTAATTATACAGTAGACAATATATTAGACAGACAATATCCACAATCAGCAAATTTCAAAAGACTACTAATTTTTAATTGGATAAAAAAACAAAACTTTATAGACATATAT